TATCAGTTTGTTCAAACAAACTGTAAAATCCGTTGAAAATTGGAACGACTCATCAAGTCAAAAACAATTAATAAAGTATAAAAATACTGACCTAAGGGAAATCAGTTTCCGAACGCTAGTTGAAAGCCCAATTTCAACTCATAAATAGATAAAAAAAAAATATTGAAACAACAAAGCACTACAATGTTCTTCAATGAAACAAGCTTTGATCTAATACCAACCAAATATTTTATACAACAACACTACACAACGTCCTTTAATGAAAAACAAAATGTCTTAGGCTAAAAAAAAATTGAGACCAAGACAAAATAGCTAAGACATGTAAGAAAAGTTTCGTTTTCAGATAAACGTATTGATGTTTTTGGATAGGGTTCCTTTATTTATCTATTCTTTATTTTTGTAGACCATTTTTCTGTATTCTTAATTTATTTTGTCCATTATTCTCTATTCTCTATTCTTTATCATTCTTGTCTATTTTTCTCTATTCATAATTCTATTTAAACTATATTCTGCACTTTTTGTCTATTTCTATCTATTCTGTAAACTCCATCCAGACCCTCGTATAGTGTGTACGAAAGGATATAAGTCTAGCATACAGGTTATGCGGAAAGGAAGATGGGTCTTACATACTCGCGCGTATTATGTGTACATTGGGGAGAAGTCTTACATCTATACACTATGGTGTATACGACGGGGGAAAAGTCTTACATAGTCTTGAAGGATAATACAAAGGAAAATAATTAGTATATACTCGTAAAGTCTTAACGAAGAGACAAATGGTTCACATACCCAATAATTTATTGAGCCAGGGATTGCGTTATCATACATTACTAAAACATTTTACTAAATTCTTGCATAGATACAAAGATGTGGGTTTAAAGTTTGACTGATCCTAATTGGACATTACACAAAAATATTACTGGGATGTAGACCTCGTAATTAAGATACAATCTATGAGAACATATTGGTCTTTTGAATAGACTTATTTTAAAATATAATCAGGACAAAATTGCAGTTAGATCTTTAAAATTGCTTTTATCGGTAGCAATATTAGTTTTATTCACCATAGTTAATTACATAACTAAACATATATTGCAAACACCTATGGTCCTGCATCCTGTCTATATTGATATTGGCAATGCACAAGATCATGATTTACCTAGACAGTTCATTGCGTGGTCAACTAAATCTATTGGAGAGGTATTTATTGATGTTTTATTCTGTGAATACATTGGTTTAAGGTTTAATCTTGTTTCATGTAGGCACACTGTGGTGCATTATTGTTTGCATATACATTAGAAACGCAAGTATAAACATAAACCAAAATCAGATGACGGGAAGGACATTCATAAATCATTCTCTTATTTAAATTATTTCCCAGAAAATCCATACAAAATTTGCATGAAGAGTGAAAATAGAAAAATACATTGTGCGTACATTTCAAAGGACACAGAGTCACACGATTCATTTAATCTATAGTAAACAGAAAAGAGACTTTAAGAGGTATTTTCATTTAGAAAGGCACACACTCAAGATTCTTTTAACCTTTCACAATATGAAATTTTAGAAGAAATAACTCCAATTTGGTCTCTTACGTAATATGAAAGTCGGGTCATTCGGATGGCTCCACGATAGTTCACAGATGTTAGTGTCAGGTTTGTAATTAACAGAAACACATAATGTTGTCTGCATACAGTAAACAACACAATCTTCCATAATGGATACATTTATTTCCTGTGTTGTCAAAGCCTCCTTAATTCTAAAACCAGAACTTCTGCAGAATATTTTCTCTTTTGTTTCACAACGAGACGTAACGAGGATAGTTCCGAAAACCATTATAGTTCCAAACAGAAAATTCATGGTTATAAGTTTGTAGTTAATTCAAAAAAATAAAAATGTTAAGGGACCACCTTAAACAAATTGAAATGTTTTCCTTCGGTATTCGTTTAGGCTGCTTTCTTGGTAGACATTTTTTATGTGATTGGTCTTTCCTTAAACTCAATATGAGGTTGGACACCTGTAAACATCATGCATTGTGTCATAAACCAACATATTTACACATCGAAGCAATCATAATGTCAATTCAGTATACTAATATTGTCTTAATAAATATTTTCTGATAAACTTAAACGATCAATTACGATATTTGGATAGTCTACTTTTATAATCAATGATGCTTTGTTTTTTTTTGGGGTTTTTTTTTTTGGCATTTAATAAGTAAACATATACAGGCTAATAAAGTGTTAACTAAATAAAATTAACTCATCACTAATATTCTCGCGCAGACGAAGACAAACTGATAAAACCAAAGCAAAATCTATTAATTGCCATTAATGAGTATTACTACGGGTGCCTAGTGGAACGGGAACTACTACATATGTAATCATTGTGAGAATCTGTTTATCCCCTGTTTTATAGGTTCTGTTGCACGGACGTTTTTGTTGTGTGGACTGTTTTGTGGACAGTTATTTGTGTGTTCTTATTTTTGTCTCTGCCATTCATTGACTGATCTTTATTAAAAGAGAGGCGAAGGATACGAAAGGGACATTCAAGCTCATAAGTTGAAAATAAACGGACGACGCCATGGCTTAAAAAGAAAAAGACAAACAGACAAACAACAGTACACAAAACACAACATAGAAAACCACAGACTGAGCAACACGAACCCCACCAAAAAAAACCCGTGTTGTTGCTCATGTTAGTACAAACCCGGTGATAAGTCTAATTCGGTAGGTCACATTCGGGGGAAAGGAACGGGATTGTAGTTACGACAATTGGAACATATCCACATCTATATTTCAAAGATAGTTTTCCATTGGCGCGATTTCACCAAGAGGTCGTTCCCTTTTGTCGCCATGTTGGAAGTCAACGTGCTCAAATCTATTACGAAAAATCGAGACGAAATATAATCAATAACCTTAAATAGAACTACAGCTGGGGGTAATATGACCTCTTGAGTATTTTAGTGGACGGATGTTGCTTGAAGAAAATTGCCTACTTTTGACGTTCTTCGTCAAATGAACATCAAAAATCAATCGGCATACCACGGCAGATTCCGCTACCCGACATTTAACGATTAATGAATCTGCCAAATTATGACGAATGAATATAAAAAAACATCGAAATATCTTGTATACGATATCGTTATTAGCTATAATAGTATTTATTTGAGAAGAAAAACAGAAAAAAAGGTGTGATGTTCCATTGACAAATATACCACTGAATAAACAAAATCCAACTCTTCATCTATCAAAACAGAGGCAACTTTAGGTAAACCTTGTTCCCCAATATAGTACGCCGCTTCAATATCCACCACCTTAACTACTTGTTATCAAAATCTGAAAAAAAGTAACAAAAAACGTTAAAAATCATTTCCGGTCGTTTCAAATCGGCAATTTCCGTAGTTGAGAAATTAAAAAAAAAAGTTAGAATTTTTTTTTCTGTCAGGCTATTAAAACATAAATGATAAGCTTTGTTAACATCATTTCTACTCGGCGATTTCCGTAATTGAGAAATTTTACAGGATATATCAATAAAGTATATTTTCTAACAACAAGAAAATAAAAACAATATGAAAATAACACTCTATTAAGTTGTAGCATCAGAAGCGCTTTTCTGGATTTTATTTTCATCAGGAATGATCATACCAAAATAATAAAAAGCCAAGTAACGTTAACACGTGAAGAACGTTTCCTTACTGAAATCTTTCCGACAGCTCCGTAATTGTTACACAAATGGCGGGTATTTCATAGGATATGTTTAAAACATCAGGTTTGTTTGTAGCAAGGGATGTGTTTTTTTCATTTCCAATTGCTTCCATCATGTCAAAATTGAAAAACAACATAATTGTTGATCATAACTTTTAAATAACAAAAACAGGTACCGCTACAGGAGCAGGAAGTGCTTACTACTGGAGAACATGCGCAGTCTAACTAAAGCCAGCATTTACAGACTATTTGGGTTTAGTTCGTCTGGCTGACTGCTTAGTTTTCTTTTTTCTCGATATTCAAATTCCTCTTTGTTCTTTTGTATGTTTTGTTATACCTAATTAGTGATGTCAGTACTTTTTCTAAGCTTCTCAGCTACGGCACGATAAAAAAGAAGCGAAGAATATCAAAGGGACATTCAAACTCATAAGTCGAAAGTAAACGCCATGGCTAAAACAGAAAAAGACAAACAGACAAACAACAATACAGAAATTCAACATAGAAACCAAAGACTGAGCAACACGAACCCCACCAAAAACTGGGGGTGATCTCAGGTGCTCCGGAAGGGTAAGCAGCTCCACATAATTGATATTCCCATGATACCTTTAAGTTTAAAGGAAAAACTAGTACGGGAAACAGCTTGGCACAAAAACGTACGCACCTAGTTCACGGTTATGTATTGACTGGTCACCAGTGCTTTTGAAGCAAAACTAATTGGGAGCCAAAAACAGAACAAATAAATGATATCTAACCTTAAAATAAAATCCAAAGCAGAAGAATCCTTAAACTGATATAAAAACTTATTGTTAGACAAAACTAAAAGGCGGGAGAATTCACAAATAAAAAAATATAAGGATGCTTACTCCTTTGTTTCAAAATAACAATTTTTTTAAAAGACTGTAATCAATAGACTATTTTCATGATGACAACTTTTGACTCCTGATTTTAGATATTTCGACAGGTTACCTACTCTGTAGTAGGACATTCTGGTACCCAGTCAAGTAGGAGCAACCAAAAGAAGTAAAATAAAACATATAATCGGAACATTTTGGAGGGAAAGTTTACTGTTTTCCTTTGACTTTGCCGTGTATAGAAATCATAAAACAGTTAATTCCCTCCCTAAATTGTACCGATCGTAAGCTTGATTGTTCTTCTTTAGGTTGCTCTTACTTAACCGAGTACCAGGATGTCCTACCACAGAGAAGGCAACCTGTCGAAAAAATTTAAACTCCGGAGTCAAAAGTCGGTAATATGAAAAAAGTCTATTGATTGTATATAGATAAGGAACTTAAGGGGGTACCGTACACCTAAGAAAAGATAACTCTTACTGAAATTCTGAATTAACTTACATCAATATAGCGTTTTAAAATACGCCTCATATTACACGCGTTTTATTGACCTTGAATAGTTGTTTACCTGTTGATATGAAGCAGACGATACATCAATGTTATAATAGAACAGCGTAAACGTGATCCGTTTGGTAAATTTTCGAGGTCTAAATCTGCCGATAAGAAATCAAATCGTTCAGATTACTTCAAATGGTTAAATGATGGCAGGAAATTGGAAGATTCTCCGCAAGTCGGCTTGCGTAATGATCATGGCAATTACGTATACGAGTTTCTTGATGTTGGGGCCGAGGCTGAATTGGAAGATGATAACAAGTCTGATGTGTCAAAATCTTGGACAATGGGGAGAAGAATTGTTGAGTTGAATGTCCTAGCAAAAGGAATGTATTGCTGCACTTGCAAGTGTCCGCTTCACCTGTCAAATATTGTAGGAGAACGATTGTTTGGGCTAGGTGGTCTAAAGATGGTGGATTGTGAACTGTGTCATACTGTAACTGATGTCCAGTTTGGGAAGAGGGGGCCATCTGGAAGTTATGACATCAACACAAAAGCTTCCATAGGTAGGTATAGAAACTATATGATTATATCACATGCTTGTAAATTATAATAGCCTGTATGATGCTAATATTTACAGTTTTACTGTTTACATTTATAATTAACATGTTGCATTGTTTATTTTTCATAATTATATTTAAATGCATTCATGATTTTTGTTTAATAAATATATTAATATTGAGTCCTTGGGGGCAATTACAACTAATGTGTCTATATATATATAGCTAACTCAACAGTGCATGCTGCTTGCATACTTGGGAAAATTGGGGTGTTGGGAAAACTTTTTAGATTAAGGTATATAGGATTTTTTCTGAGACAAATGCCTGTGCCTTATAGCAGATTAATTGTTGAAAACATTGTCATTGTTCAATGAACATCAACAACTTTCAACCCCTCCCTTCTTATCTTTTTCATAGTCAAAGTAGGCTTTGAAAAGAGTTATAATAACTAATTATAAACTGTGAAATATTTTTTTAGAGCTTGGCCATTAAATGTACAACTATATGTACATCATCATATCATGTAAATATTCTTAGATGATGTTTTGTAAGCCAAGTCGGAGAAATTAGCACAGGACTGTCAGCCTGTGTCCTGTTAATATATCTTCTGTCTAGGAAATTTTAATGAATTTTACAATTTTAATAGAAACAAATTACCATCTTTTCTTTGTTTATAACACAACTGTTTCTTAGTCTTAGAAATGCAGGTGTGTACATTTTCCATTATTAAGACATCAATTTTCTTTCTCAATTTTAATAATACCTCATATTCTATTAAAGGAATGATACATGCAGGGATGGGCCCAACTCATCTGCAGAACTTTCTAGCAGAATGTAACCTGCCATCCATTACAGAGAGCACATTAAGGAAAAAAGAGAAAGAATTAAGTGGACAGATTAAAAATGTAACAATCCAGTCGTGCAATATGGTACAAAGAGAGGAAAAGTCACTCAGCACAAATGGCAATGTAAGTATTAAATGTATGCACACAAAGTGGAATATCCAGACTGGATGCCCCTTTCTAGAAAACTAAGTCTTTTTTACCCCCCCCCCCCCCCCAAAAAAAAAATCCTTATATTGTATAACTTTTCATGGAGTACATCTAAAAAAAGTCCTAGATCCTAGATTTAATTCAAGGGACTTAGGTAATATATATGAGAATTATAATACAATTTGATCATGTAATGCTACATTGTATATATGTACAGGTATGTCATATGAAACTTCAAAGTAACATCAAACATGTTTTTGAAGTGAAGCTGATTTTTTATTATTTCATGGTTTCATGCATCAAGAATCATTCAAAGAATTATTTAACAAATAACAGTTTCACAGAAGAGTAAATTTGTAATATTAAAATGTGTCCCCTTAGTAAATATTGTCCTAATTACAAAAAATACAATGATCATTTAGGTATAAGTGTGAGACAGACAGAATAAACAACAATACATGTACATGCATGTACAGATCAAGACTTTTCACCACCTAAAATTGCACAGGACAGCACAATTTTTGAAATTTTTCATTAGATTTAACAGTGAGGACCACCAGAATTTCTTTAAGGACTACAAAAACAATAATTTCTAATTGTGTATTTGGTGTGCAGTCACTGCAAATGTTTGTTTCTGCATACATATGCATCCAAAAGATTTGTTTGTGTTCTTAATAATGTATTTGTAGCTTACTACAAAACTAGGTATCCTAAAGGTGAAGGTAAATGTTTAAGGTCAATCTATAAAAAACTTGCTGGTACTTTTTTTTATTAGAAATGCAATCTTTTCTAGATTGACGCAAGTTTTGACGGTGGCTGGCAAAAGAGAGGCTCCGGTTGGAATTATAATAGTAATACAGGTAATAACAGCATTCGTATTATATAATTTAATGTCTGACATTCATGATTTAATTACTGTATTTTGTTAAATTTTGCTGAATCAATTATTAATATAAATAACTTAATTGGACAAAGAATTAATTTCAATATTTAGTTTGATATAAGACATGTAAGAAGCTGTAGTTAAAGAAATATCTTCCCTTACTTATTTTTATTCAATCCCTAGGCTAGATCTCTTTAACTTACCTGGTTCAATTATAGCAAATAGGTGAGCTTTTGCCATCATTTTGCATACATTATAGAAGTAAGATGTGTTACATGATTGCCAGTGACTCAACTGTCCACCAGAGCTCAAATGAATTGGAAGTAGGCAATTATAGCTAGACAACTATAAAACCTTCAACAATGAGAAAAACTTATATGCAACATGAAAAATACCAAACAATTCAAATGAAAAAACCAACGGCGTAATTAATAACAAAACAATTTATGAAGAAAATATGACAGATATAAACTAACAACAACCACTGAACTACAGGCTCTTTATTATCAATATCTGTCCGTCATATTAATCTGTAACATTACATCTGTGAACCTTTCATTAAAATATCCATTATCCTACACCCCTAAACAAATTGAAACCAAACTTCAAAAAAATATTTACTAAACTGTTTATCATTGCATCATGTATGTAATACCTTTTACTTTAATTCTTGCAGGACATGCAACTTTTATTGGAAAGGAGACAGGAAAGGTGTTGTCCTTTGAATTAAGAAGTAAGACTTGTAAGATTTGTGAATTCCATCTTAATAGAAAAGAGACTGTTCCGGAGCATGAGTGTCAGTTGAATTGGCATGGCTCTAGTAAATCCATGGAGGCAGATATGGCGGTGTCTATGGCCCACAGATTAAAAGATGATGAATGTGAAATTAATGGTATGTTTCATATTCAAAATAAAGAATTTTGAAATACAATTTCATGTAATGAGTTCCCCAAAATGCATTGAAAATATCATATAAAGGGAAATAACTCTTATTTCAACAATACTTTCAAATTTGAAAGGTGAATATTTTGTGATTTTCACAGGAAACTAAGATTTTGTTCTTACACTTTCATGACAAAAAATCAATTAATTTTGTTGTTAATGATATATCATAACCAATGTCATGTAAAAATCCAGTTTATATTTATTTTAGTTGCTTTATTTACATTAGCTACATGTAATTAAATAAGGCAGAATATAACAGCTATCACTATTTTCCAAATAAAAAAATATGCTTGCAGTTGTATATCTTGACCGCTGTTGTGTTGCCTTTTTGTAGGTTTATAATTCTTCAATCTTCATTTCAGTCAGACATGCTGATAATGATGCAGCAACATCAGCCAGACTTGAAGTTGAGTTTCAAAATATAAAGAAAAAAGATGACCAGAACCATGTAAAGAAGGGTATATCAACAAGCTTATATAATATTTCAAAGAGTATTTTTACAAATTAATTTTAGTGTTACGAGTATGTCTATGAAAAGGCTTAAGCCCATCCTTTACCAAATCAAATCATACTTATAGATCTTATTATATTGATCTGTCAAGACTACAAACTCTAAAAAAAAACATTACAATGAAATTTCAATTTTGTGTTGTTCAAAGACATGTAAAGATCTTTGCATTTTTGTGTTATCTGAATTCACAAACATTACATCGAAAATTGAAAGAACTATTAGTATATATATGAGTAATCTTCATGGCTTATGGAACGACCAAATAGTTTTTAGTGAGGCTTTATGAAGTTTAGAATAGAAAGGCCGGACTTAAAAAAATAGAAACTAGGACCCTTTTTTTCCGAAAATTAAAAGGCAGATGCATGAATCCATTATTGAAGATTTCATCCATGCCCCATAAAAGTCTGAAGGGTGCTTGCTCCCTCAATAGTATAGACAGATAAGCAATAAAAAAAGAAGACTTTTTAATTTTTTTTTTTACATTAATTATTTGTTTCTTATTTTGTAGTTACAAAGAATTGCAAAAGGATGAAACAAAACAATATATTTTGAGGTGCTTTATGTATTCCATTAAGGGAGGTGACAATGAAGATGACATTAAGATTGGGCTGCAAAGAATTGTACCACATATTTTTGGATCACATGAAAATTGTAAAGATGCTGACTGGTGTAGCTATCATCAAGATCCAGAAAAATTTACGTAAGATCTTCTATACTGGTATTGACAACATATTATTAGCTCACTGGGGCCCGAAGGGCCCCATGTGAGCTTTTACCATCACTTGGCGTTCGTCTGTCGTCGTCGTCGTAAACTATTTAAAAAATCTTCTCCTCTGAAACTACTGGGCTAAATACCTTCAAGCTTTAAATAAATGTTCCTTAGGGTATGTAGTTTATAAATTGTATCCGAAGTTTTGATCCATCGACAAACATGGCCGCCATGGCTAAAAATAGAACATAGGGGTCAAATGCAGTTTTTGGCTTATATCTCAAAAACTAAAGCTTTTAGAGCAAATCTGACATGGAGTAAAATTATTCAATTGGTCAAAATCTATCAGCCCTGAAATTTTCAGACGAATCGAACAACCCATTGTTGGGTTGCTGCCACTAAATTGGTAGTTTTAAGGAAATTTTGCAGTTTTTTGTTATTATCTTGAATATTGTTATAGATAGATATAAACTGTAATCAGCAATAATGTTCAGCAAAGTAAGATTTACAAAAAAGTAAATATGACCAAAATTGTCAATTGACCCCTTAAGGAGTTTTTGTCCTTTAAAGACAATTTTACACAATTTGTTCATCAAGTTTGCTAACATTTAAAAATCTTCTCCTCTGAAACTACAGGGCCAAATACCTTAAAACTTTAACTAAATATTCCTTAGGGTATCTAGTTTGTAAATTGTATCTGAAGTTTTGATCCATTGACAAACATGGCCGCCATGGCTAAAAATAGAACATAGGGGTCAAATGTAGTTTTTGGCTTATATCTCAAAAACTAAAGCTTTTAGAGCAAATCTGACTATGGGTAAAATTGTTCAATTGGTCAAGATCTATCAGCCCTGAAATTTTCAGACAAATCAAACAACCCATTGTTGGGTTGCTGCCACTAAATTGGTAGTTTAAAGTAAATTTTGCAGTTTTTTGTTATTATCTTGAATATTATTATAGATAGATATAAATTGTAAACAGCAATAATGTTCAGCAAAGTAAGATCTACAAAAAAGTTAAATGACCAAAATTGTCAATTGACCGCCCTTAAAGCTTTAAAGACATTTTTACACAATTTGTTCATCAAGTTTGCTAACATTAAAAAATCTTCTCCTCTGAAACTATTGTGCCTAATACTTCTTAACTTTAAATGAATGTTCCTTTAGGAATTTAGTTTATGAATTATATCCGAATTTTTTGATCAAACAACAAACATGGCCGCCATGGCTAAAAATAGAACATAGGGGTCAAATGCAGTTTTTGGCTTATATCTCAGAAACTAAAGCATTTAGAGCAAATCTGACATGGGGTAAAAATGTTTAAAAGGTCAAGATCTATCATCACTGAAATTTTCAGGCAAACATTGTTGGGTTGCTGCCACTAAATTGGTTATTTTAAGGAAATTTTGCAGTTTTTGGTTGTTGTCTTGAATATTATTGAAAATAAAGATAAACTGTAAACAGCAAAAAATGTCCAACAAAGTAAGATCTACAAAAAAGTTTTATATGACCAAAATTGTCAATTGACCCCTTAAGAAGTTATTGCCCTTTAAAGACAATTTTACACAAGTTGTTTATGTTTTTTAACTTTAAAAAAAGAAATGAATCTAGTATAAATTTTGTATTTTATTTCCTTGTACGTCAAGAAACATAGAAACTATGGCTAAAATGGAACATATGGGTAAAATGCATTTATTTGCTTTTGAAGAAAATATGACAGATACAATGAACATTGAAGTGGCATTTTTAAGCCACTCATTAATATATATTGAAAAGCAAAACTAATCATTGATGAAAGATTTAACCAATATTTTAACAGGTGAGAGATTCAGGCTCTTGAGAGCCTCTTGTTTTCTGTATTGTCTCATTTCTCAAAGAATTAATAGATATAAGATGTGGTATGAGTGCCAATGAGACACCTCTTCCATCCAATTCACAATTTGTAAAAAGAAATCCATTATACATATGTCAATCCTAAAAATTGATTCCTTAATATGCTGAATCTAACCGTGTATTAAGTTTTTGGATTTTGGCCCGGTTTTTAAATTGGTCCACATTGAGGTCCAAAGGGTCAAAAATTAAACTTTGTTTGATTTTATCAAAAATTGAATTATAGGGGCTCTTTGATATGACGAATCCAACTGTGAATTTAGGTTCTTAATTTTTGGTCCCGTTTTCAAATTGATCTACATTAAGATCCAAAGGGTCCAAAATTATACTTTGTTTGTTTTTAACAAAAATTGAATTCATGGGGTTCTTTAATATGCTGAATCTAAACATATATTTAGATTTTTGATTATGGGCCCAGTTTTCAAGTCGGTCCAAATTGGGGTCCAAAATTAAACTTTGTTTGATTTCAACAAAAATTGAATATATGGGGTTCTTTGATATGCTGAATCTAACCATGTATTAAGTTTTAGGATTTTGAACCCCATTTAAATTGGCCCACATTGAGGTCCAAAGGGTCCAAATTAAACTTTGTTTGATTTCATCAAAAAATGACTTATTAGGGTTCTTTGATATGCGGAATCTAACCTTGTATTTAGATTTTTAATTTTTGGTCCCATTTTCTAATTGGTCTACATTAAGGTCAAAGGGTCCAAAATTAAACTTTGTTTGATTTCAACAAAAATTGAATATATGGGGTTCTTTGATATGCTGAATCTTACCATGTATTTAGATTTTTGATTTTGGGTCCCGTTATCAAATTGGTCCACATTGAGGTCAAAAGGGTCCAATATTAAATTTTATTTGATTTCTTAAAAAAATGAATGCAAAGGGTCTTCATATTTGGTGAGTTGGTATGTAACTGTTACCTGCACCTTTGACATCAAGTTCAAATAAAGGAAGAGGGGAATATACTTTAATGTACTTAAAAGGTTCTTCATACTCTTTTTTAGACATTATGGTGGATCATGCTCACTTCAGAATAGGCTATCTGCAGCTGTGCTTCAGAAAAATGAAGGATATGGCTACTTATCCAAGGTAACTATGAAAATTTTCACATCTTCTTTTTGAACGAAGGGTGACATAGTGTTTGAATATGATTGCTTCTTTTTCTTTCCTCTTCTATTTCTTTCTTCTTCTTCATCTTCTCAGAAAAGCCTGTTCAGATCATAACTTTATTAATCTTTTGATATAGCATATAATGAATTTTTAGTATGTGGGTATATCACTTGTGTCAAGTTCCAGGATTGGTAACTAAGACCTTGACCTAAAGTTCATTAAAATTAAATTTCTAGTACTATCTTTATGTCCACTCCATTTCTTTTTGTCCGTCTGACCTTACTCTCATCCTCTTTCCTTTCCTCACTCTAACTGAAGTTTGCCTCATCACGGAAAGTGAGTCACTTATTGTTCTAGAGTCATGCCCCTTTATAACTTGGAAAATTGCAAATTGTTTTGTTTCCTTACTCTAACATAAGTTTGTCTGATACAACTTTTATAAAACTGATACATATAAGAATCACAACACTCAGACAGAGTTCAAATTTGTGTTGTGACTCATTTGTCAACCTATAGTTCTGTCCCTTTTTAACTTGGAAAATTGCAAAGCTACAGCGGAGGCATTCATGACATCTTACACATTCTCCTTTAATAATTTTTTTTATCTTTTTGAAACCATGTTACATGTTGCATCCAATGTTTATATACAAGATTACTGTATTGCTTTTTTAGCCCTGCAGATATACATTGTACAATTTACAGTCACGAATCATGTTTATCTAGTATGTAACTCAATTATCTTCTTTCTTCTCAAATTATTATCAGATGTGGTATGTGTGCTAATGCAACAACTATCCATCCAAGTCACGATATATAAAGAGTTACCATTATAGGTCAAAATATGTGTTCACGATGGAGATTACTGTTTTTTCTTGATTTTTAATATTTTAATGCATATATGTATTACATTTCAATTATGTTGCATTTTTTTAGATCAATGAAGCAGCAAACCTCTCTCCAGGAGAATTTACAATGGCAATTTCCTCTGTAAGAGATAAAAAAATGGAAAAAAGAAAAGAAAAAAAGAATTCAAAGGAATATAAAGTTGGCCGTATACAAAAGAAAAGAAACCGCAATAAGAACAAGCGTAAACATCTGGTAAGAGAAGGAAAAACCTATGGATCTCAAATGAAATTTGATCTTCAACAGGACCCTGAGCAAACCACAGAAATTCCACTTCCTTTTAATCTAGATGGCACTGAATGCAAAGTGTTTTTTGATTTAGAAACAACAGGCTTGGGTAGGAATAGCGACATCATTCAGATAGCAGCTAAGTCAAATTCAAATAGTTTTAACAGATATGTCATCCCAAGAGTGGACATTCAGATCGAGGCCAGTAAGATCACTGGTATAACATACAGCCATGGAACAAATAAAATGTATGTTCGAGGAGATATAGTTGAACCTGTGACACTACATAAAGCCCTACTTGATTTTATACATTTTTTAAAGGAACAGAACCAGCCAATTATACTAGGTCATAACATTTGTAACTTTGACATTCCTGTAATTGTTAACAAATTGAAAGAATGTAATTTGTTTTCGACATTTTGTGAAACCGTGAAAGGTTTTATTGACACAATGAAAGTGGCTAGAAAATATATTCCAAAAAATGATGTAGAAAATTTTAAGCAGCAGACTCTTGTCAAACAGTTTGTAGGAGAAAATTACTCTGCCCACAATGCAATAGAGGATGTGGATTCATTAAAAACATTATACTACAGTAAATTTACCTCACTAGTGAAATCTGATGATGTATTTTCTATTTTATACCACAATTGCATGGACTCCTACTCTGACTTACTAAGTAATAAAATTGTTTCAAGGCCAGTTTGCATGCAACTAGCAAAAGATGGTATATCGTTGAAACACCTCAAACTGGCATCTGTACGAGATGTAAATGGACTGAAATTTGTCTTACAGGACCATAAGATACCACCAAAGAGTGTGAAATGCATTCAGGACTACTTTCAGACTGAGGAATGAATTTTGTATGGCCAAAAAATAAATATATGTCTGTGTTTTCCTATAACCTGACTGTGTCTACCCTGATACTTGTTTTATTATTCTCCCAACACAATGAATTTGCCAAGGATATGATGTTTCAGTCTGTCCATTTGTCTATCCTATTCTTGTTAGTTCAACTCCTTAAAAACCGCACAACAGAATTTAATGAAACTTGGAAGGTGGTAAGAATGCAATAAGTGTGTATATTACAAAGTTCTATGAAATTTTGATTCCCTGCATTATAATTTCATATTTTGAGTTATAGTCCCAGATCAATTGACACTGAAAAATAAATAATTTGCCATTTTTATCTGCAAAAAAATGACCGCCAAAGTCAAACATACTAGTGGTTGGATATTGTACCCTATGAAATAAATATTTCAAAAATCATTTATCTGAAGCTACTAAAATAAAATGAACCAAACTTTAAAGTCTCATGAAGGTCAAATTTGCAAGGAACACACCACTTCATGATAATACATTCATATTTGCCAAAGATGTAAGACCTAGGTCAAAAGTCATGGCCTGGTCATTTTCATGCTAAAAACTACATAAAGTTGACCTTATGGTCAAATTTCAAGATCACATGAAGGTCATCATGGTGCAAGACACATTACCTGATGATGATACATCTACATACCAAAGATCTAAGACCAAGGTAAAAAGACAACAAGGCATGGTAAAGTGTTTATAGTAAAAAATAAAATTGACCTTGAGGTCAATTTAAGGTCACATGAAGATAATCACAACACAGGACACTCCATCTCATTATGATACATCCTCATACAAAAGATGCAAGACCTAGGTAAAAAAAACAACAAAAAAAATGCATATGGCCTTGTTTTCTATCAAAAATACATTTATTTGACCTTGAGGTCAAATTTCAAGGTCACATGAAAGTCATCATGATATGTGACACTCTACCTCATGATGATACTTCAACATGCAAAATATCTAAGCCCTAGGTCAAAAGACAAGAAAACTATGCCCCAAATATATTATCAGAATGGAACTTGCTCTTATTTATTGAGGGTGGTGGTATTAAAAAAAAAATCTGGTGGATAAAAATTTATAAATTTTTGCAAAAATAACAAACTGATATAGCACTACAAATGGTTAGTTTTTTAAAAAAATTAAACGACACATTTTTTTTTTTTCTAAATTTTTTCTTCAAATACTTGACCCATCAAATTCACTTTGGGGGGCTGAATCTGAGACCCCCCTTTTTTAATTCGGACAAAAATTTAAATCCAGAATAAAAAAAATACAAGTAAAGGGAATAGGTGAACTAAAATTCGCCTCAGTTTTCACTATTAACTATGCTATTGTCAATTTAGGATTAATTTTAATTTTTTTTAACATATATACCCCTATACCCATATTTCTGAAACTTCCAAATTTGGCTGATATTAGCATGTAAAAGATGCCATATTCGAGTTGCCAAATCTTTTAAACATATGGTTCAAATCCTTCGAAATTTTTATAAGATGTTTAGCTTGGCCTAGTTTATCAATGGGATAAAAACAAGAAAAATTAAACGACAGGTTTTTTTTTGGTGTATAGTGTTGGGTACCCCCTTAAAAAGCAGAAACAATGAAAGATCCGTGTCTTTGTTTTTGAGATAAAAGTAATTAAAAATCTAGCGGGAAATTTTCTCAAGATTTTTCATACATTGAACATTGGCACCTTTTTTCTTTCAAAAACTATGAAAAAATAACAAGGATTTTATAAGATTTTCAAATATGGATTTATAAACTATATGTAATAAAATTATGAAAAGAAAAGTAGGAGTTAAGAGGGATCATTTTTTAATGTCACTACATTAGTAAAACTAGAGGATACCAAACATCTGACAAAAAATCAAAAGCCATCGTAGCAAACATTCTTAAATTCAACTGATACTCACATTAAGGATTGCAATTAGGAACCAGTTTAATATCGTCTACTGCTATATCGCCATGTATATCTGCTCCCCTGTACCCTTCTATTACTATTTGTCCTGGAGTATCTGGTAAATTTATTTTAGCTGGTAACCAGTTGTTGCCATGATTTCCGGACTGACTCCATATTTTTTGTAAATTTCCATGACTATCCTTCAATATTAATGTGAAAAACTTCAAACCATATAAACTAAAGTAAAATTAAAGTATAATCTGTCATTTTTTTTTAAATTTTAAGTGTTATTCACTCTTTAATTTTCTGTGTATAAAGAATTGTGTGTCAAGAATTGCGATAACGTTCAACGTATCCTTTTGCGGTACCACCGCTATCTTTGTTTTTATTTATATTTTCTGACCCCTGCTTGTCTTTTCGTGTTTGGTTTTCTTCTGGTAGCCATCATGTCGTCTTTCTTTCCAGTACGCATATGCTAAGTTTTTACTTGATACGCTCTAAAGTGTGATCAATGGTTCTGGTACGCATATGCTACCTTTATTACTTTTTATGTGCTCTATAGTGCGATCGAAGGTTCCTGTATACACATGCTACCTTTTTACTTTATGCGTTCTAAAGTGCGATCGACGGTTCCTGTACGTATATGCTACTTTTTTATGTTGATAACAGTGCTATCGACGGTTCCTTTACGCATACGTTTTTTTTTTTACTTTTTATGTGGTCTTCAGTGCGATGTATGATTCATGTACGCATATGCTTTCTTTATGCTTTATGTTTTCTATAGTGCGATCGACGGTTCATGTACGCACATGCTACTTTTTGAATTTGTATGTGGTCTACTGTGCGATCGACAGTTCCTGTATGCATATGCTACTTTTTATGTGGTATACAGTGCGATACGCATTTCCTATCTTTTTACTTCATGTGGTCTATAGTGCGATCGACGGTTCCTGTAAGCTTATGCTATCTTTTTACTTTTTATATGCTCCATATTATGACTGACGGTACTTACCTTTATATAAACACTTAGAGATGCTATGAAATGTCCAAACATATGATACCAGAACTTTAAACATGTTTTCTGTGGCCATACAATATCATTGGAAAGCAATCGAACAAAGTTCTGATAATTCATATCCGATGCTTCTAAGTATAAGAAGTGTCCTTTTACTAAAAAAAAAAACCAAAAAACATCAATAGTAGATGGTCTTGATGGTGGTCCTTCATTTCTTTATTTTTTAATTGTTTAGACCTTTTTATCTTTTTTTTTATATTTAAGCAACCCATTATTCTCTATTCTAGATTTTGATTGCCTATTTTCCTCAATTATTTTTTGTTTGTTTTATCCTTTGTTCTTCACGTTTTATCTATTATTCTCTATTCTGTAAACCCTAACCTAGCCAGACCCTCATTGCATCATGCTTCCATAGAATGTACTTCATATCAGTTGCTTCCCCTTAGAAAATCGTTAAAATGAGAAAAAATGTCGGTAATTTGAAAGTGGATTATTGAATATATATGTATATTTTGAATGGGTACAATGAAGTCGTTGACCTTACCCGTGCCCAATGTATGATCACTATCTGGTCCAGTTTTATCAGTAGCTGTAGGTCCTGAATGAATTCTCCAGTCACCGTCATCCATTTTATCTTGGTGCCAATTACAAAGGCCAGACTCAAAATTACAATTAACCATCACAACAGGGTCTGTAATTAAATCACAACTGATCATTACAACAGTGTATGTAATCAAATAACAGTTAACGATTACAACAGTGTATGTAATCAAATAACAGTTAACAATTACAACAGGGTCTGTAATCAAATAACAGATAACAATAACAGTGTATATAATCAAATAACAGTTAAAATTACAACAGGGTTTGTTGTTAAATAACAGTTAACAATTACAACAGGGTCTGTAATCAAAGAACAGTTAACAATTACAACAGGGTCTGTAATCAAATAACAGTTAACAATTACAACAGGGTCTGTAATTAAATAACAGATAACAATTACAACAGTGTATATAATCAAATAGCAGCTAACAATTACAACAGGGTCTGTAATCAAATAACAGTTAACAATTACAACAGGGTCTGTAAATGAAATAAGCACTTGACAAATCTCTAGCGTCCGAAGCGCATTTCTATATATACTTTTCTTTTTATTTGACCTGTTGATACTAATTGTAATGCTTTTTTGTTATTTAATGTCATTCAGGGTTATATCTGGTCTATATACCAGCTTTGATAAGTGTTTGGTATTACTATAAATTTTCACTTCGTACTATGAACATAAAAATTATTTATTTTGTAAAAATATTTCCTTTCTCTATTTGAACTGTACACGTATACCTAACAACAAAATTATTTTCATTTACCTGTGTTTAAAGTAATTGCAAATGGCTGATATTTTTGTTCGAGCATATTGTTTTTCTTAAATTGTTTAACATTTCATAGCGGTATATTATTATTCTTCTCTTAGTTTATTTATTTTGTATTTACATTGTATCAATTGTCAAATTTATTTGTTCAGTGTATGTTCACTGGTGTTAATATGTCCTTTGATTGAGTTAATCCATTTCAGTTGATATTTTATAGTGTGTCTTTCTATGTTGTGATGTTACACTATTGTTTCAGAAAAATGGTGAAGGTTTGGTACCATTAAAACGTTTAAACCCGCTGCAATTGTTTGCACCTGTCCTAAGTCAGGAATCTGATGTTCAGTAGTTGTCGTTTGTTGATGTGGTTCATAAGTGTTTCTCGTTTCTCGTTTTTTATATAGATTTGACCGTTGGTTTCCCCGTTTGAATGGTTTTACATTAGTAATTTTTGGGGCCCTTTATAGCTTGCTGTTCGGTGTGAGCCAAGGCTCTGTGTTGAAGACCGTACTTTGACCTATAATGGTTTACTTTTATAAATTTTGACTTGGAAGGAGAGTTATCTCATTTGCACTCATACCACATCTTCTTATATCTACTTCCTCAGGAACGCTTAAACCTAAAAATTTGCAAGCTAGGGATGCGTAAATACACTGCAACGTTTACCCAGTTAACCATTAGAACAGGGTCTGTTCAATTCTTTTTACAATTTTGGTACGAACTATCAGTCAGAATTTTATAATCGCAGTCTTTTTGTCTTTTTTTTTGTTTTAGTTAGAATGCAAATTTTTGTAGAAATTGCCTGGATGGGTGTAGAAGCAGGAAATGCATATCTTTCCGGAGCATCAGATATCATTCCTAATGTTGAAGGAATTTATTATGAAGACATGCGAGAACCCAGGATTTGATGTTGTGGGGTACTACTGAGAATAAGAGTTACCGGACCATATTTTGACAAATTCATTGGTTGTAACTTTACTTAGTTACTTTAGTTTGACTGTACCTCTGGTATCTTTCGTCCTTCTTTTACCTTTAAATTACATTTTTATTAATTGTTTTAGGGGGCGCTCGTGTGTTGCGCTCCCCTCTGAATCAAAGCCTTCAAGATATGTATACTTATGCCTAACAATAAATCCTACCGAGCGTCGTTGTTGGCAACGTTGTTGTCGTTGTTGTCGGTATGGTAGTTGTTGGTGTTTCTGTCGTCGACATTGTTGTTGTTTTTGTCGTCGGTATTACAGTTGTTGGAGTTTCTGTCGTCGGCATAGATATTGTTTTTGTCGTCGGTATTATTGTTTTAGTCGTGGGCAATGCAGTTGTTTTTGTCGTCGGCAATGTAGTTGTTTTTGTCGTCGGCAATGTAGTTGTTTTTGTCGTCGGCAATGTTGTTTTTATAATCTCGAGTGTCGACATCTCAGTCATACGTGTCGTTGTCGCATCAGTCTTCCTAGATGTGAGCTCTAGTGATGAAGTGGTCGGTACAATAGAAGTGATATTATTAGTGGGTGTGGTAAAGGGGGCGTTCCAGTCGATGTAATTTTTACACACATTATTACACAAGTGGTCCTCACAACACTCCTCACAGACTTGACCGTTTCCATCATCTGTATCTCTCTTCCATTGTGTAAATACACACTACAATCAAAATAGCCTCGATATGAAAACCCCAATTAACATGATTTTGTAATAGTTATTGTCATTCTAAATCCTTGCATAGCTTAAAACATCGTTTGGGCTTTGCTGTTAAAACAAACATTAGCATCGTTTTGTAATATTGACAGTGTTATTCTGGATCCTTGTATAGCTTAAAATATAGTATGGCTTTGCTCATTATTGAAGGACGTACGTTTCCCTTTCCCTTTGCTGTGGTTTCTTTAATCCTTGACCTTTGTCCTTTCGTGTATAATAGTAGTGGTCGTTATCAATCATACCTTTCCTTCATTGTATACTAGCTTTAGTAGTTTAAGAGAAAATTCCCTCTCTTGTGTTTAAATTGCTGTAAACAGTAACTATATTGACTTTGAGATGTCTTTTTACCTTCGACCTTGAGATATCTTTTGACCTTTAGATGACTTTTGATCGTCTGTGTCGTTTGGTTCTGTCTTTTAAATATATATCATTATCTCTTTTTTATTCTTATAAATAATAACCACCTTTCATATACTAATTTTCGCGAGCAATTTATTTTCGCTACTTTCGCGGATAGAAAAATAACGCGAATATAAATCGTCGCGAACTCGTAAAACTTGGATCTTATCTTATTCAAATACATCAAGTAAATTTGAAAATCGCTTAATTAAACAGCCGCGAAGTGGTCTAAAAAGGACTAAACGCGAAATAAAGTATCCGCGAAGATAAGTTGGTTTACAGTAAGTTTAATGCAAAAGCGTGGCAGGAACGATTTAGGTCTGCCGTCCGACTAAAAGCATTACGTTTCTGTGTAGAACTTTAAACAGTATCAACAACTACTACTGATTGTGGAATTTCCCCTACTCTAAGTACCAGGTACGTAAAAATGCGGTCTCGCAGTTTTTTTTAATAATTTTGCATGCAAATAGCACAACAGAAACCGCATATGAATATCGAAAAAATAATATGTGTAATATATTTTCAGAGATAAAGCAAACTGAATAACATGCAAATAGAAGCACAAATGTGTAATATTGTACACGTAAATATTGCAGAATAGTATTGCGTATTTCAACTGTTAATCCGATTTTCCCCAAAAAATCAATCTGATTATGATAAAGATCCTTAGTCCAAGCTTTGCATACGGGAATCTGAAAATTCTCTGTTCTACTATCTGTTTTAAAGATCTTTCGGGATCCTCTTGTTATGTCGGATTTTGTAATACACACTTTAAGATTTGAAGGCTGAAATTTCATTGGCTAAGGTAAGTAAATAATTACCAGAACAGAAAGTAAAACGGAGTGTTGTCAGATCCTTGTATGCAAAGCATAGACACAGGATCTATATTTTAATCTGATTGAAAAAAGATTTCTTTCAAAATGATATTTTATTGCCACTAAAATTTCCGTCAATAGGATATAAAGTTGACGGTTTTCACCGAATTCGTTTTAGATGTTTATGGCGGATATTAAAAATATAAGAATGCGATTTCGGGACAAAGTTCAGTCACGACGTCACTTTAACTTTTTCTTTTTCTGATGTATAGTCACCGTTCATGCAAAACTTCATAAATAAAGGCAACAGTAGCATACCGCTGTTCAATAGTCAAATATCGATTTAACTGAAACAAATCCGGGCCACAGACCAAAACCGAGGGAAACACATCAACCACAAGAGGAAAACAACGAAACAACAGAAACACCGATCTGCCACAAAAACAACGCCAACATACATAGAAACGGATTATTTGATAACAACTGCCATATAAATCGCCAATTTACATACCCGTTATTTTTGTTGAAGCCGTATAACAAGTACCCGTATGCCTAGAATATCCGTAGTTTACCGTTTGTTTATACCAATATTACAACGTTAAAATATTAAAAACAGAATCCTCGTCGTTATTAGATTGTACAAACCGTTTTATTACTTTTACACCCATGTGTCCATCTTTTTTCTTGGGATAATCGATTAAATACTTGTCCAATAAAACATTTCTGAAACAAACAAAAAAACATCGATATCGAATACCAAATATTAAAAAATCAAAGTAAATTGCATCGTTACTTTATGTACTCAGTAGATGGTGAGCATTTAATATTCAAAATTCGACCGTGAATAATGAAGATTTCTCTAATTTTCATGCCTTTTTCACATTTCTCGATCGGTGTGAAATTTCTCATTTCAAGAGAAAACTTTGTTCTCGGCAAATGATTGGTCGAAATTTTATTATGACGTCAAATTTTCTTGGTGTCTTCTGAATTTCCTATTGTGATGTCATGAAAAAAAACGACGTCACATATAAAGCACACAACTTTCTTCAAATCTTTGAAACAGAAGGATAAAGTTTTTTAGATATCGTCTAAAAATCATTAGAGAAACCGATTCCAACACTATAACTCGTGTATTACGATATTTCTCCACTCTCAACAGTTAAATTTTAATTATCTAAAAAGCTCGCAAGCCTCGCGCTTTAAAATTTAACTGTCTCGAGTAGAGAAATATTGTAACACACTTGATACAGTGGTGGAATCTATATGTAATAGCTTTCACCCTGCAAGGTCTTTTAACAACCCTAAGGGGACGACCATTTGATCATATTCTGGGGGGGGGGGGGGGGGGGCAGGAGGATTTGTTTTTGGATGGGTTATTTATTTTTGTAGACCAAAACAAAAGGACAGATTATTTATTTTCTGCACTGTTGAAGCATGATTTTTCATTTTCATTAAAACAAGGGACTGATTATCTATTTTCACAATTATATTTATAATATTTGAAAACATACATTTTTTAAATTCATAAATAAATAACATAGTCAATTAAGTCAATTAAGTCAATCAGAATTAATCATCATCCTCTGGGAGGTATTCTTCTGAATTGCAAACTGCATATATTTCATACGTACAAGGTATAAAAGCTGGGCTGTAACTGGCCTCTTTTAAAAGTTGTCAAACATTTTTTTTTTTTAACAATATTCTGGTCTCAAAGCAAAATATATAGATTCAGTGTAAGACTTTTAGTTTTTAGGGACAACATCAAAAGACCAATATGTAGGACAAAGCAAAAAATGTTTCAGTTTGCAGAAAAACCTTTTGTACCTGTCAATTATGTTTTTTTTTCAAATTAAGTTAAGAGGGGGCTGATTATCATTGATATAACTATGTCAAGTCAGTTTTTATAACACATTTCAACTACAACTTGATGTAGTTCCTAACTGGGATACAATTTAAAGTAGTTTGTAATAGACAAAAGGTCCTTAAATATATAATAAAACTAAAGTTTAAAACATAATTACTAAATTACAAATAGAATGCAACACTAAGAGAATATTCATAAAGAAGGGCAATCAATGAACAAAAGACAAACCCGGGAACAGATAAAACACAAAACGACAAACAACATTATAGACAATCAACACTGAAAAATAAAAATAAATGAGAAACATGGATCTAAAAAAAACAGGGGCTACGTCAGAGGGTGAACAGAACTTGCTTCTTGCAAGACACTTGACTTGAAAACAATTTAATATGAAGACAAGCTTTTGTTTTGAAATTTCCAACATGAGGCATTTACCTCAATGTAGTTACGGCCCTGTAATAAAAGTGAGGTAAATGATTACGAGACAATATACCTCAAGTGAAATGAAACCCATTTTCAAACATTTCAAATACATTAATATTTATATTATTAAAAGATTTGGGAAGTTTTTCCCGAAAAAAATATGAAAAAAGACGAATTTTGGAAGAATCTGGTGCCATCTCATACTTCAGAATAGCATTTATAAAATGGCTTAAAAGACCTGCCAAGTTATTTTCAATACATTGTAAGTCAGGTTATTTATTTTCAAACTACCACAGAACTAACTTCATTTTTTTTATTATCAAGGCTGAGGTGTTTATTTTCAAAATCCTCCTGCCCCCACCCCCCGAATATCAAATGGTCGTCCCCTAATGGTAGATCCGCCAAGGTTGTGCTGTGTATAAACATCACCACCTCCACCTAGGCAAGCTATGATAACAGAAAAGTCTACTTAGTAAAATAACGCTTATGAAAAACTCCGCCAAGCTAGAAATAGCGATATGTTCACTCCACTAAGCTATATATAGCTAGAAATAGCTAAATGTTCACTCTACTAAGCTATATATAGCTAGTAAGAGCTAAAGGTTCACCCCACCAAGCTTGCAAGAGCTAAAGGTTCACTCCACTCACCGGGTTAGTGCTAAATATAAATCCCACATAATCATGTAATGTCAGTTTAATCATGAAAGGACTAATATTGTATGGTAAAGGGCAAATTTCGAACTTTAAGTACTTTAATTACAAGATCCTAAACACAATTCTAAACACATCTTTGTGCACCTTTTTTACATCTTGAAGTCTAAACATGTCTCATTTTTAAACACGTTTAAGTTGAAGAAAGTGTTTAGAATTGTGTTTAGGATCGTGTTAAGCTTAGAAGTTAGTGTTTAAGTCCTAAACACTTTCATTCTAAAAGACACTGGAAAGTGTTTATATTCAAGACGTGTGTCCATTTAATGTGCATACTTAGAAATGTTTATAGAGATTAAACATAATCACATAAGATTAAAACTAAACATGTAATACAAGTGTTTATTTTCTAAGCACGCTTTTTGTTTACTCTTACGGATTATTAGTGTTCTACTGCAGCTTTTAGTTAGGTTCTTTTGTTCAAGTAAAGTAGTTGTTGCATTGTGGTTTTGTGAATCATTGGTTGTCTGCTTGCATTTTTTTCTTTGGACAAAGTATTGGACATCTTTTATGGGCATGTGTTGTTTTTCCGCATGTATGTGTTAGGCCATGTGCTGAGAATGCTACAACACCGCATACCTAAAACAGCTCTATATTAGACACCCTCAGGAAAAGGGAAACCAGGGAGACCAAGAACCACCTGGCGAAGAACTGTTAATGCAAAATTGGAAATAATGGGCTACACCTGGGGTCAAGCCCAGTACATGGCTAAGGACAGAGAGAAGTGGAATCAGTTTGTTGTGGCCTTATATCCCGTTGGGGTGAAGATGATAAGTAAGTAAGTTGTTTTCTCGGGACATGCATTTTGTTTTGATTTATATCTACAAAACGAAACTACTTATTTCCTTTATTATATACTTAGTAGTAAATACAGGTAAATTATATGTGTAATACAATTGATGATATTCGTGCTGTATCAGCCATCCGTGATGATATCGATATCAGTCACGGTTGCAAAGGCTTTATCAAGTCCCTAATCAGTTTGACGTCACGTAATCGATATTGGTCACGGTTATAAAAGATTTATCAAACCCCTAATATGTATTACGCCATGTCTCGTGAAAAATACATAAGAGAGATACTAGTCAGTTGTACTTGGGGTACATGTGAAAAAAAACATAAGACATATTAGTTGTACTTGAGGTAGGTACATGTATATAATAAAATGTATATGATATGGCTTTTTCAATATCACACACCGTATCAACCCTCAACCAATATAACCCCTCGAGCTGAGCTCTTGGGATTATATTGGTGTCTCGGGTTGATACAGGTGTAATATTTATCATACAGGAACATGATTTTTTTCTGAATAAAATGTAAATAAAAATGTTTCCTAATTTCCAATAAAAGCAAACTAGAGGTATAGGGGGAGTGTTGAGATCTCACAAAACATGTTTAACCCCTCCGCATTTTTGCGCCTGTCCCAAGTCAGGAGCCTCTGGCCTTTGTTAGTCTTGTATGTTTTTTTAATTTTAGTTCATTTATATGTTTTGGAGTTGAGTGTGTTGTCCATTTTCACTGAACTAGTACACAATTTTATTTAGGGGCCAGCTGAGGACCACCTCCGGGTGGGGGTTTTCTCGCTGCGTTGAGGACCAATTGGTGTCCTTCGGCTGTTGTCTGCTCTTTGGTCGGTTTGTTGTCTCTTTGACATATTTCCCATTTCCATTCTCAATTTTCTACTGAAACAAATTGTTTTTTAAAAGAAATTAGGAACAAAACAATTGATTTTTTAAAAGAACATGCCCCTCATATGAGATGAATGATCGGTTTCTTGTCTATTTATCAGCATTTTATTTCTAATATGCTTTGATAAATTTCAGGGCCTTTTATAACTGACTATGCGGTATGGATTTTGCGTATTGTTGAGGGCCGTATGGTGACCAGTAGTTGTTAACTTCTATGCCTTTGTCTCTGGTGGAGAGTTGTCTCGTTGGCAATCATACTACATCTCCTTATTTTTATATTTGATAATTTCTATTAAAAGCAATGTACAGACCTCGTCTTCACCACATTGAACAATCTGGTCACAACCGTCAGCGGTCCGTGCTTCTTTACAGCTGTAACATATAGGACCAGGCTTGTTCAAAGCTGTTAACGAAAACACGAAAAGCTGTTAAGAAAAACATGAAAAGCTGTCAAGGAAAACATGAAAAGCTGTTAAGGAAAACATGAAAAGCTGTTGGGCTAAACATTAAAAGCTATTAAAGTCATGAAAAGCTATTAATGAAAACATGAAAAGCTGTTAACGTAAATATGAAAAACTGTCAATGCATACATACAGGACTGGGATTGTTTAAAGCTGTTAATGTAAACATGAAAAGCTGTTAATATTATCACGAAAAGCTAATAATAGACACACGAAAAGCTGCTCAAGTAAAATAAACAGCTGTTTAAGTAAAACCGAAAATTTTTACTAGTAATATAAACATAAAAACAATTCTTTAAATGTAAAAGTATGAGTTCAGGTATGTTCATTTCTGTTAATATAAACACAAAAAGTTGTTCATGTTAACATGAAAAGATTTAATGTAAAAATGAATAGCTATTAATATAAACCTGATGATCTGTTAATGTTAACATGAAAAGCTACACAAATTAACAGCTGTTAAGGTAAAAATGAAAAGCCGTTCATGTAAACATATTGGTCTAGTTTTGTTCAAAGCTGTGGTTGTTCAGTTGAAAAGCTATTGATATAATCATAAAAGCTGTTCATGTAAAAATAGAAAAGCTGTCCAAGGTAAAGACGAAAAGCAATAAATGCAAATACATACATTCCTGTTTTTTTTAAATTTGAACAGCTGTAAAAATAAAATGAAAAGCTGTTAATTCAAACATATAGGTTCAGGTTCAAAAGGATTTTGATGTATAAAAAGTTTTTAATATATAAAAAATACATTTTTAAAGTAAATGTTAATGTACAAAATCAGCTGTTAATTAAAACTTGAAAAGCTGTCAAAGAAAAAAATATAACTACAAATGAGTGTAAACAAGACAATCTATTAGAAATAGAACAACATGTTCAAAAAACAAAACAGGTTGTTATTATAATATGACGTCAAACTTTTAACTTAACTGGTCAAAATAAACAAGAGAAGTTAATATAAACTGCACAGGTTGTTTCAATAAGCCAGAGTGTTAACGAAAACGAGACAGACTGTAAGGGAAAACAAGACTAGCTGTTTATATCAACTAGGCACACTGTTAATAATAACACGACAAGCCTTAAATATAAAAAAATAAGCTGTTTAAGAGATCAAGACAGACATGCATACGAAACAAAAATACATGCATTGAATGTTAGCAAATTAGACTGTTGACTTTAAGTAAAACAATTTAAACATAAACAGATTGGATATTAATGTAAAAATGTAAAGAACACAAGCTATCAATATAAACATTATAAGTATAAAAATAAGAAGATGCGGTATGATTGCCAATGAGACAACTCTCCACAAGAGAACAAATGACACAGAAATTAAAACTATAGGTCACCGTACGGCCTTCAACAATGAGGAAAGCCCATATTGCATAGTCCGCTATAAAAGGCCCCGAAATGACAAATGTGAAACAATTCAAACGAGAAAACTAACGGCCTAATTTATGTACAAAATAATGAACGAAAAACAAATATGTTACTCAGCAACAAACGACAACCACTTAATTACAGGCTTCTGACTTGGGACAGGCACATACAGAATGTGGCGGGATTGAACTAGTTAGATGGCGCCACACCCTCCCCCTAACATGGGACAGTGGTGAACAGCACAAAACAAGAATACACTATACAAAACAATAAACAAACAAACAACAACCACTAAATTGCATGCTCTTGACTTGGAACAGGCACATATAGAATGTGGCGGGGTAAACCTAGTTTGAAGGCGCCAACCTTCCCCTTACCTGGGACAGTGGTATAACAGTACAACTTACAAATGTAAGAACAAACAATAAAAATCAGTTGAAAAAGGCTCAATAATTATAAGGTTTGTTTGGAAGCAAAACAATCTATCGCATGCGGTTTAATGTAATAGCATTGCTTGAAAATGCTTAATTCTTAAATTTTCCGATCACTGATATAGTAAGCGTGAACATATTTACGAGAAGGGCCGCGAATATCTCTTTCCTTAATTTGTCAACTAACATCAGATCTCAGAATATTTCAGTAAACAGTACCTCAGTTCTTGGATTAGATTTAGACGATGTACTGTGCACTATATGAATTGTTTTAGACTAGTCATTTTGGGGGTTTTATAGCATGCTGTTCGGTGTGAGCCAAGGCTCCTTGTTGAAGGCCGTACTTTGACCTATAATTGTTTACTTTTTATACATTGTGACTTGGATGGAGAGTTGTCTCATTGGCACTCATACCACATCTTATGTATATATAACCTCTATCTGAGGGTCTGGATGTGTGTGTACAGAATAGAGAATAATGGGCAAAAAATATAAAGAATAGAGAAAAATGGCCGAAAAAAAAAGAATACAGAAATGAAAAACCCCTCCCCCGCCCCCAATCCAGACCCTCCTATACGCTAAATAGAATTTTGATATGTGTCAGTTAAGTAACAAGCCAACGTGAAGAAAACTAAATGACCTTTAAAGGTCAACTTTCAATCTTCAACAATAGACAGTAGATATAAGAAGATGTGGTATGAGTGCCAATGAGACAACTCTCCATCCAAGTCACAATTTGTAAAAGCAAACCATTATAGGTCAAAGTACGGCCTTCAACACGGAGGCTTGGCTCACACCGAACAGCAAGCTATAAAGAGCCCCAAAATGACTAGTGTAAAACCATTCAAACAGGAAAACCAACGGTCCAATCTATATAAAAAACGAGATACGAGAAACACTTATGAACTACATCAACAAACGACAACCACTGAACATCAGGTTCCTGACTTAGGTTCGGTACAGTTAGTCTCGAATCTTACAAAATGATACACGAAAAGGATTACAAGAATTACCAAAATTAATGGACAGTACAACAAACCTCATCAACCACCAAAACCAGTCTTCTCCGAAAAATTCCACACAAACAAATACAAACAACAAAGAACAAAAAATGGTCCGTGTAGTCAAACTTGATAAAAGCATAAAATGTGTTGGGGATGAAACCAGTTTGTTTACGTGCGTAACTTGGAGCAGGCTCGTGAATATGTGGATGGGTTTAACTCTTTGTTTAGCTCCTAACCTTTGCGAATAATTTCGATCAGTTAAAAATAATAGGTACATAAAAGGAACAACCAATAAAAATCAGACAGGTAAAACAATAATTACTCTTTAATAAATGCAACACTTTATAAATTTTGTGCGTCCGAAGCACTTTTCTGGATTTACCTTCATCAAGAACGCTAAGACCGAAAAATTTGAAATCCAAGGATGTATAAAAGGGAGTAATGTTAGAAGCTATATGACCTAAATGTACCTAAAATAATAGCCAAATTCGGAAAAGTCTACTTTGCCTGAGGGAGTTCGAGCCAAATTTTCTCAGCAATTTCTTTTTTTAAAAGAAATTTACAAAAACATGCAAAAGATCATGTCAGTACCGAAGGATTAACTGCTGAGCTGATAATACCCTGGGGACTCATTGTCCACCAGCATGGGTATCGGCCCAGTGCTAGTAAAAACTGTTATAAAGGTACAATAGATTTAAAAAAAAATAACTTCAAGCATATACCGTATCAAATATATTTTCGTCGTACTATGTCGTGACTGGAAACATTACAAATAATGAACTAAATGATGATTAGGTCAAATTTATCAAAACTCTGTCATCATGCTAATTGAAGTCTTGGATATAAAAATTCCCGCGAAATTTATATGGGTCGATTTTTTAATTTTTACAGTATGGCTGGTTACCGTTCCTTATTCTACTTACAGAGAGATCCACAATATCCTCCGGTGTTACATATGGTACTACTATTACAGCAGTGCTCACACAATGTCGTTTCTCCGTCAGAATCTTGACGTTTTCCTATTATAGATGGCGGCAATGTGTGTCTGGCCATAATGGGCATTTGCGTCATATTAGCCTCGTCTTGACGTTTACCTATGACCGATGGGGGAAGTGTCATACTATTCCCGCCTGGTGAGGGGCGAACGACCTGTGGTAACCCGGATACAGCTGCACATTTCTGAAATTAAACCAAATTTTGACTTTCATGAATATATATTTTATAGCATATATACAATAACCACTTTTTTACCAGTCTAGCTTCTGTATGTTACAATAAAAAAAGTTAGGCAATACCCAATGAAACAATTCAGAATACAATTCAAAATAAATGGATGCATCATACAATGTTGTACCAGACAACACTAAAAAAATATTTCAGACAAAAAAGATGGGTACCAGTCATATGCACTGTTTTATCTAAACATCCAACATCATATCATGCTTTACCAGACAACACTGCATTAGTTAAACATCTCAGATAAAATAAAACATAGATGGGTACTTGTCTATATGTATCTAAGCAACATCATATCGTGTTGTATCGGACTACACAAAAGACATATAAGGTAGCAATACACAGTTAGAAGTTTAGTTTCGCATTATGGCCATGGTGAATTTTTTAAATATGAAAGTTTGTGTACAATAAAATTGATTTTTAGATAGTTGAAGAATAATATAGCCTTCGAAGTGGGTTTTAATATGAACATTTAGATTGTTTTTAGCATGTTTTAAAGGCCATTTTTCTGTTTGACAGTCCGTATTTTCCTATCCGTACCGCCCATAGGTCCAGAAATTATTGTAGTGTTTATCAACAAAGATTTGACGCTCGATCTTTTCAATTCAATTTTATGGAAAAACGAGCAGAAAGGCATATGATTTTTTTTGGACCTCTTGATAGATAAATGTCTATGGTTTCAGGAAAGGCATCACTCTAATTGATTGAAATTTTCCTTTGGACCAAATTTTGGAGACTTTTGTGACATTTTCACCCCCCTTTTTGAAATATTTTGTATCAAATAAATGCAGATTGTTGCCATGGTAACACCTAAAAGAGATTATATTTCACCTTTTTAACTATTGAAAATGAAATCTATGGAATATGCTCTTTCCAGAAATATACACATGCATAACACAAATAGTAAGCCTTATTTGTTAGATAGGAGGGAAAAGGGGGTGGTTAAAAATTATGAGTGCCAATTTTAAGATTTTTTCCTAACTGTGTATTGCTACCTAAGATAAAAAAAAATGGTACCAGGGTTAAGTTCCGTATCATCTATTTTCACATTTCCCAACCGATTGTGAAAAAATTGTTCTCCTCACTAGTGAAATATCTGTTCTCGGCAAATGATTGGTCGAAATTTAATTATGACGTCAAATTTTCTTCGGAATTTCTTATTGTGACGTCATGAAAAAAGACGACCATGTCTGATGACGTCACATAAAAGGAACACAACTTTCTGCAAATCTTTGAAAAGGAAGGTTAAAAGTTGTTTATATATCGTCTAAAAATCATTAGAGAAACAGATTACACCATTATAATTCGTGTATTACAATATTTCTCCACTCTCAACAGTTAAATCTTAATTAGTTAAAAAGCTCGGCAGGCCTCGCGCTTTAAATATTAAAATTAATCTGTCTCTAGTGGAGAAATATCGTAAGGCACTTGATGCAGTGGTGGAATCTATATATCTAATCTTCCGACATAATACCATACTGTACCAGACAATACTCAAAACATATCAAATAAAAAGATATGGGAACCAGTCTACATACCATACTGTACCAGACAACATTACAAAATAAAAAGATATGGGTACCATTCTATATACATACCGTATTATCTAAACATCCAACATCATACCATGTGGTACCGGATGACGTCACATAACGTCTCAAGTAGCATTGCTGAAATGAAATATTTTTAAATAAGGTAAATATTTTGAAATCTTTAAATTTCGAATTCCAAGGCTGCATTTGCCAAGTGATTAAACTTTACACGTGCTTTCTTAGTTTTGTGATACATATATTAAGTATATAATTGTGTCATTTGCACTATGGGTTAAGGAAACTGCTTTTAGAGAAGTCTACGAGTCGGGCATACTTATCTAAGGGATTAAAACTTTTAAAACCCGTTAAAAAAAACTGTTATTCAAGACATAAATACTTATGTGGTATGATTGCCTATGAGACAACACTCACCCAGAGATAAAATGACGTAGAAGTTGTCAACTAGGGTCACCATACGGCCTTTAACAATGAGAAAACCCCACATAAGTATCGACAGGATGTTAACCGTAAGTGTTCACAACAATATTCAGTAATACATGTTTAGTTAGGCATACTTATATTTAGGGAGACAATTTTCAAAAACCGGTATAAATAACATAAATTTATACTTTACAGTGTTCGTTAAGCTAATTTTTAACTTTTTCAAAATGTTTTGTTATTCTCTGACTTATTTTAAATACTCAGTAATGCCCGAGGGTCTGGATAGGGGTCCTTCATTTATGCATCCTTTAATCTTTTTGCTATTGTCCTCTATTCTTTAACTGCATGCCCTTTATTCTCTATTCTTCAAACTTCAGAACCCTATTATTCTTTTTTAGCGTATTTTTCTCTGTTCTTTATATTTTGCCCATTATTCTACACTTTGTGCCCATTATTTTCTTTTCTGTAAACCCCGTCCAGACCGTCATGTATCACCCAAAGTTTTTTCATTTGGACCAATATGTATTTATATATTTTGAAAAAATACTGTTAAACAATTTATTTGTAATTTTTACCTCGTGTTCGCTACATGTCGTCAGTTTGAAACAGTCACCGGGCTGAACCACGTGCTTGCAACTCAAACATGTTAACCCTCCGTCTGAAATAGAGAGTTAATCAGGTAGAAAGCGTTTAGTTTTATGTTACAAGGAAGTAATTACTTACATAGGCGACAATGGTAGCCTTTTTTGGTCCTGCTTTTTCACTATCAAAGATCCATGGAAAAAAATGTCGAATTCTGAATTATCAACACCTTTGGGTGTAATTGAAATTGCAAAACACATATGGTGCCGCAGCTTTTTTGGCCATTAAAAATACAAAAATTATGCAAACGTCAGCAAAAATAAGGCCCCCTTTTTTTGATATGCATAAATACATGCAGTGTTATCGAGGATGAGACGAAATGATTAAAGACAGAGTCCTTGACATATTTCTCGTTCTTACAGTAGGTAAATGAACCCTAACCCTTAGGCAGAAGAATAAAAAAACAGTAACAAATTTGATATAGACTATAGTTTCATGGCGATCAGCAATTTTCTTCTGATACAGTTTATCACTTAGTACTTTATTAATTTACATATCCAATTTCTAAAATATCTCGAAAAATAGAGTGGATGCGCCAGAAATCGTTATTTCGCCTTAGTTTACAAGGAAGTAATTATTTACATAGGCGACAATGGTAGCCTTTTTTAGTCCTGCGTTATCACTATCAAAGATCCATGGAAAAAAATGTCGAATTCTGAATTATCAACACCTTTGGGTGTAATTGAAATTGCAAAACACATATGGTGCCGCAGCTTTTTTGATAGAAAAATTGCATTTTTTAAGGGTACTCAACGGTTCCGGAATTTTCGAAATAGTATAAAAGAACACCCCTTGCTAAATTTGACACAGAAAATGTTGCTCGTCACACAGAGTTTCCTCTAAATTTCTCGCTATGTCTACACCAATGGCCAATGTGTGGTTCTAAATTTCAACAGTATACAGCAACTTATTAACAGTATACAATATATCAATTAACTCTTCAATATAGTAAAGCAACTCACTATACAGTGTTCATGACAACGACAAACTGTCTCTGTGCTGTATAAAGACAGCGACGACCTGCACAGTATAGAAGGCAGCAACTATCAATACAGCAAACTCATTATACAGTTTACAATACAAAAACTATCTATATAGTATTCACGACAACGACGAACTGTTTCTGTATTGTATAAAGACAGGGACGAACTGAACAGTATACACAACACAGCAACTCATTGTACGGTATACAACACGACTAACTATACAGTATACAGGACACTTGTCGAAATCGATTCAAACTTACAAGCTGCGGATATGTCCAGGAACAGGAAAACAACGCAATCTACAATGAAAATGCTCAGTGAATAAATTATACATGTTATAAGCAATAAATATGAAAAAAAACTCATGTGAGGTCAACTTGAGATGGCAAAATTTTTCTCGGTTTCGCCGTCTAAAGGATACGACTCAAATGGCTATCGTTTGGCTGAGCGGTATGTATAGAAATACTACCAGTTTCGTTTGCAATGAGGTCGTTATATACGCCTTCTATATAAAATCCATATCTTGCTATATAAAAGAGGGACGAAAGATACCAGAGGGACAGTCAAACTCATAGATCGAAAACAAAATGACAACGCCATGGCCAAAAATAAAAAGACAAACAGACAAATAATAGTACAGATGACACAACATAGAAAACTAAAGACTAAGCAACACGAACCCCACCAAAAACTGGGGTGATCTCAGGTGCTCCGGAAGGGTAAGCAGATCCTGCTCCACATGTGGCACCCGTCGTGTTCCTTATGTTATTACAAATCCGGTAAATAGTCTAATTCGGTAAGTCACATTATATAATGTTGACAACGGAACAGGCAGAATTAAAATTGCGTTCTATTTATTTTATATGAATAAAATATGAGAGTAAAACTATAATAAGGGTTTGGATTGGTTTGTGGAGGTGGTCCTACAATTTTGTATTCTTTAATATGTTTAACCGTTGTTCTGTATTACTTATATTTCAACACCCCATTATTCTCTATATATTCTTTATTTTTGGGGGCTATTTTTCTTTAATCTCTGTTTTTTGGTCCATTTTTCTGTAGCAATGGACCTTTATTCTATATTCTTTAAACCCCCATCCAGACCCTCCATAATCACACTCTGTAAGTGATGAAATTCAATTTTCCTTCATGGCACCGTAAAATTTCGCTGTCTGGATGAGGTTTACAGAATAAAGAATAATGGGAAAAAGTGCAGAATAAAAGAAAAAGAAAGAATACAGAAAAAATAGCAAAATAATAAAGAATAGAGAATAATTGGGTGCAAAAAAAATAAACAATAGAATATGATGGGCAAAATACATAATGAATAGAGAA